GATCCGGGGCTGCTTCGTCGAACTGATCTAAAAATCGCAACATTTCCAAGAGTCCCGCTCACAAGTGTGATTACTGTACCGTTATGACTGCAGTTCAATTTTTACTCGAAGGGACATTTCGTAACAAACGGCTGTATCTTATAATCTTGTCGCCTTAGGTAATACATTAGGATGCTTCTACTCAAACAATCAACTTTGAGCCGCAAACCCGTCCATGCACGAAAAGGGAGTTCGTATAGCCCCCCCCCCCTCCAACTGCATTGTAATTCCACCTAAAATGATCGTTCTCAATGCCTTTAACGCATTGCTATGTATCCGATTGCAAATTTTCTTACTTGACCCCGAAAGTTGTTGTTAATGCTAGACACGCATTGGAATTCTTCAGTGATGCTATAAGAATTTCGTTTTTGGAGCGCGTCCCATAACGGTACCAGTTGGCGCCGCACGCGTTGCGCGCACAACACAGTTCTGCGGCGAAATGGGATGGTGCGGCGAAAATTTTCAAATTTGGCCTGATACACTACGAATATCTGAATTCTCAGCTAAATTCTATCCGCTCCATCATCGACGGCTTTCAACCTCTTTTTCTTCGTCAACCATTATCCTCTTTTTCCTCGGTCTCCGGACTGCTTCCGGACGAATAAATCTCGTGGCAAACTCCGCCTACTTCGGTGCATGCCCCTACCACCTTTTCTTCCTCACCAATATCTCCTACTTTTTTCTGTCTCTAGAACTTCCTGGAACCACTTTATAGGTCTGGCAGCAAACTCCGCCCACTTTGGTGCATACCATTAGAAATTGGCTTTCTTCCCTTCGCCGACCTTTATCCGCTTTTTTCCGGTTTCCGGTACCACTTGGAGATGAGTTGTAAGTCTGGGAACAATCTCTGCTCACTTTGTGCACGCTCCGCCCATCAATAACGCTCGACCTCCCTCCATTCGTCGGCTTCAATCCACTTCTTTGCCGTTCTGTGGACGACCGAACCGCATTGGGAATTTCCGCGGCAAAGAACGCCCACTTTGGTGCGAGCCCCGCCCACCAAGGGCAGTTGACCTATTTCCCTTCCACCAACCTCTATCCACTTTTTCCCGGTCTCCAGGACTTCTTGGAACCGAGTTATAATGTTTTGTGGATAACTCCGCCACATTGGTGCATGCCCCACCCACCTATAGATAATGACCTTCCTTCCGTACACGAACTCTATAGTCTTTTTCCCGGTCTCCGGTACTCTTGGATCTACTATGAAATTTTGTGGCAAACTCCGCCCACTTTAATGCATGCCCGCCCACGAATAGCAGTTGAGCTCCCTTCCCTCGCCACCTCTATACACTTTTTTCCCAGTCTCTGTGACTTCATGCAGAATCATAAGTTCGGCACAAGCTCCGCCCATATTAGTACACGCCCCACCCTCAATGGCAATTGACCCTTTCGTTACCAGACTCGATCCACTTCCCTTTCCTTGCCAGACTCGATCCACTTTCCCTTTCCTTGCCAGACTCGATCCACTTTCCTTTCTTTGCCAGACTTGATCCACTTTCCTTTCCGTTGCCAGACTTGATCCACTTTTTTCCCGGTCTCCAGGACTTCTTGGAGCCGAGTTATAATGTTTTGTGGATAACCCACCCACATTGGTGCACGCCCCACCCACCTATAGATGTTGACCTCCTTTCCGTGGTTAAGGTATAGCCTTTTTTCCCGGTTTTCGGGACTTCTCTGGACCAAGCTATAAGTTTGGTAGCGAGCTCTGCGCACTATTGTGCACGCCACGCCCGCCATTCCGCTTACGTCACGTTTGCTGGGAACACCCATAGACATTGCTCCCTACAAACTTTTTTCTGCTCCATAGGCTTTCTCCTAACCGTGTTACAGACAGACAGACAGACAGACAGACAGACAGACAGACAGACAGACAGACAGACAGACAGACAGACAGACAGACAGACAGACAGACAGACAGAGCGCTTTATAATAAGTAGGAAGATCAAGACTGAGAAAGTTATATCGTCAAAGGTTAGAGCGCTCACAAGGAATCGGAATTCGTTATCTCTTCCAATGCTCTTCATCTTCTTTCTTTCTTCCTTTTTATGAAGTCAGAAACGCATCAGATGCATAATTTATAATACATCTCACTGAAATGCCATTTCTACTTACCATCCCAACTTGTTAGTCATGAGGGGCGGTTCCGGCAGGGCAACCAAGAAAAATCAATTGATAAGTTTTTCAACGTGTCGAAAACAGTGAGAGCTGTTAATGTATTTGAAAGACCACCTGCTTTTCTTCTGGGTGAGCTAGCTGACTAAATATGTAGCTTCGAAGCTATGGAACCCGTATACCTATACTAGTAATGTGCAAAAAAAGAAGGAAGGATAGCAGCGGGCTGGCAATCCACGTGTTTCTTGCCCTTGACATTATCTAACGAATGCATCGACTATTCGGCTGCGCAACTTCGGCCATTCGATCGACCTCCCGAATTCCGTGGATCAATCACCTGCTCGTCACTGGCTCAGTCTTGGAGTCCTCATCTATTCAAAAATGAATGTTTCTTCCGAGAAAAAGACTGAACTGCTTCAGAAGCTGGACGAGTTCTTCGCAAGAAATAACGAAAAGGCAAGAGTTTCTTTTTTTCGAGTTATATTATGAATTTCGTGATTAAGAAATAAAAATAAGCAATTGTAACAATAATTAGCCATGAAAATTAAAACAAATATAATTATTTTATGTTATGTTGAGTTATTAATTGTAATTAATTCTTGTTGTTAATTATGTTGAGTTATATCTCTACATATTATTTTATGAAACATATTTTTTGACCATGTTTTGAAAGAGTATGTTGCTCCCAGGACTATATATAGAGTAAATTCATGCCCTCAAAAACTGCTTATCAATATAAACTGCACTTATATTCGGGAGAAGCGGTTTGCCCTTGAAGAAAAGTTAATAAAAAATTAGAAAAAGTTCAAGTTCTCCATAAGGAGTCAATAATATCAAAATCAATCGACTCACTGATAGCAGAATGTAGGGGATTTCTCATGACAATTTGTAGAAGATTATGTGGCCCAGATTTAGGTGACAAATGTCGACGCAGAAGTATTCCGCCGCCTCTACAGACAATTTTGGAAGAAAGACCACACATCGATTGGAACAGCTGGAAGTTCATTTCCGATAAAGTGCAAAGGAATTATAACGATCTACCGGATTTCGACCCAAGCAGGTTCGAAATGTTCCGTTTATTGTTTAGAGCGGAACATCTTTTCAAAATGAAAGTCAATGAGGCGAAATTTCATACAGAAAGTCGTAAGAAAGGTGGAAACGGTTCGGTGGTAAATCTTCTACTCGAGATGCGCTATGAATATGACCTTCAGTCAAAATTGTGAGCGCCTTTCAATCCCTATCTGAACTGGAGACTTGCAGAAGCTAGCCGGAGTACAAGTCAGTGCCGTTATCAGGGATTAGTCTGTTACCAGCATCTCTCGCGATACAGGCTGCTCGCATCGCGCAATAAGAATTTCGATCTGAGCTTGAGTCGCTGTACTAAGCGTCTGCAATAGGTGGCGCTCTGTTTTTACTTTCGCTCGTTTTTCCGGCGCTCACCATAAAAATATACCTTCATTCAATGAATAATGAGCGGTAAACGTCAGTTGCAACCAGATTCAGAAAGTAACCAAGAAAAGCCCAAGAACCTAGCGAAATGTGCCCCCTCCTTACACATTTATTCCACATTGATCCGATCTGCATCGGGTTGCGCTTTCATCCGCTAATTGCTCTCCCTGAAAGGTTGGAGATCTGCGCAGAGCTGTTAGCTGACGATGGCGTACGGAGAGGTAGCGCCCGGGAGGCAGTCAATGCTTAGGTCCCATGGAGTAATCCCTAGACGAAAATGCCTGTCGGCTCACATCCTTAGGTTCCGGCCTTTCTTCCTACTAAGGACAATTTTCCTTCATAGACCTCCGCTTTACGGGAAATCTTTCTTCAGGTCCTTAAAAGTTTCTCATCAATCTCTACATGTTGAACTGCTCAAGCAAATACAATGCTTTAAAGGAGGAATTCACGATTAGAATGAATCGAAGAAAGGGAAACTGACCTAGTTGAGGGACCCACGGACCTCCTGAGGGTGCGAACTGACGCGCAATTCGCATGGAAAAATTTGACCTCGGCGACCTATCATGCCTCAAAGCTGGCGGGTCGGCGATCTCCGCCCACCTGATCACTCGCCGTAGTTCAATACGTGGCGAGTGATTAGATAGCTGAGAGAGCGTAGTGTTGAAGAGGGCACAGCGATGAGAGTCGCATCAATGCTCGAATCAACGGGCAAGGAAGGGGTCCCATTTCTCGGGTTCTGGGCCGTTTCTCATGGTTCTTCCTTCTTTCGTGTACCACTCACCATCCCTAGGTTAATTTGAAATGGGTTGCTTTTTCATCGTGAATTCGTCCTTTAATTGTCGTCGAAAGTAGTGAGCAGAAAAACATTTCATGGAATTTTTTTTACCTCAGCTGTAGTTTTACAGTTTGACCTAGTTTCCCATATCCTCCATGTTTTCCTCAGGGTCACCATATTTCCTTTCAGGAAGGATATTCTGGATCGATTGGTGGTGGTGAAGCTCAATGGGGGTCTCGGACAACGATGGGTTGCGCAGGGCCGAAATCGTTCATCAAAGTCAAAGGACAGCTCTCATTTCTTGACATTGCTTCGTCAACAACATGAAGTTTGTTCAGTTTATTGTTTGTTTTGTCGTTACTTTTAGATTACAATTTGATAGTTCAGGGTTGCAGGGCAGTACTAAATACATGAAAAGGAATCAAATTCTATATTCGGCCAACTTAAAGGCACAACACACCCAGGCAGAGGTCGTGTGAACGCTTCTCTTCGGTTTGCAGTATAGACCCCTAGAGGACAATCACAAATGTGGCGTTCTCGTGCACGGAAACCAACCGATAAGAGCGCTTGGGCCTTGCAAAGTAAGCTGCCCAAGCTGCAGACTTTTTTTTATCAGGACTGTTGTCTGGCGATCTCTCATCTGTAGCGCTCTCTCGCCCCATACTCTCCTCTCCGCGCTTAGTCTCTCGTTCCTTTAGCACAGCCAATTAGGAAGGTGAGTGAGCCCTCAACCTGAGCGTTTTCGACGGATTCTTTTCCTTTTTTCTTCACCGGCGGCCCACTTGGCACCGATACATTCACATTCGTGTGCAAGAGCCACCACCAAGGCCAGCCTTTAATTTTGAACCTAGAACCTTCGCAGCGTTCATGCAGTTATGCACTCGCAGATATAGAAACCTCTCCGATTTGCGATATGCTGCGCCGGCAACACTGTGTAGCAACACCTTGTGGCAGGAACTTTTTATGTCGTACACCAACAGTCTGATCGAAATTATCGGATTCGGTTAGTAATCACTTACATTCCTGATATCTTTCAGGATTCAATTCGGGGCATATTCTGTTCCACTATTGCTATGAACTCTTTACTACACGCGCCCAGCAAACAAGTTCAAAACTTGGCACTAGAGGCGATGTGCGGACTTTCTGCCAGTCGCGATGCCCTCGAATCTACGCCGACACTCTTCTTCCTGTCGAGGAAGATGGATCTGATCAAAGAAGTGAAGTTAATAACCAGCAGTGATTTTAATTACTAGACAATGCTCACGATATTCTCAGTCCTGCCTTAACTACAACTCACTGAAAGTGAGTCGCGATAGCACATTAAAAAACACATTATAAGATTATATCATCACCTATGCAGAATTATTGTCTTATCCAGACAGCGCAGGCCCTAACATAATGCATTAACTCGTTGGCCAAGTGGCATTACACGGTGGTATTCTGGACGTGGGACACCATCTAAAAGCAACAACCCTAGATGGGTCTATTTAAGGGTCAAGCATGCGTTGACGAGTCCTCGGCTAGGGGGTCGTATTAGGTGCGGTGAGATGGAGAAGGATCTAAAGTGCGGTGAGCCGCGATAATCAAATACTCTAATCTTTTGGTGTAGATGAAGCGCACGCAACGGAGCTCGAATGCCACGGGCATCCCTAAGCAACTCGACCAATACCCATCCTCCCATTTCGGTTCCACCACAAGGAGACTGTAGGTTCTAGACATCGCAGACATTCTCGGAAGTACTGTTCAAAATGACAGAAGGATTATTATTTTAGCCAACAAAGCCACGAGAGGGGAGGGGGTTTTAAACGCCTTATTATGATGTCATTAATATCGATTCAGAAGAGCTACCCTTCTAGTTACCCGCTTCATTTTTTTTGAAAAACTACTTAAAGGCAAAGTTCGGGCTCAGACCCACCTAATAAGCCCTTAAAGTGGCTAGAAGTGCATGGACGCAACTGCAGGCGACTCGCCAAGTTCCCGCATCCAAATGCGTCACTAAGGCGCTAGGGGCCAAGGACTTTGACACGCTCCACCTGTTGCGACACGCTCCGCCCACCGCTCGATATTTTGTCTGTCGCAATGCTGATCTGCTATGCTCTCTCTTCTCGGATTTCTCTACCGCTCTCCGCGCTCACATTATCTCTCATCTCCCTGCCGGCCTTTTGAACTTCTCCGCAACGTAGAGCAAAAGGCTCGTATTTCCTGTGTATTTCACGAATGTTTTTTCTTTTTTCTTCATGGGGGTCCACCTCCCACCCTATATCATCATTGAGTAGAATGTCTCATCGGGTGAGCTCGAATCTTGCCTTTAAGGAGGTTATGGCTCTAGCAGAAAGTCTGAACTCCCGCCCTGGAGAATTCTCCCTTTTTGCCGATAATTGCGCATACGGTATTCACCAATTTCATAACATTAAGAAAATACCCGTAAAGTTTTGAGCGAAGTTAGCTGAGCTACCATATAGGCGTCTCCGACCACGGGAATTCATTATTAGTCAGAGAGGTTAAAAGCCGCATGACGATGAACCCCAGTTAACTAGTCGCGCGCTGCCTTTTTTCTAGAGGATTGTACCCATTCCAATTTCCAGCAGCGTGCGCTCAGCCTGACCGCTGCTCTTCAGAAGCCTTATTTGGAAAGTGTTAAGCAGTACTCTAACATAAGGTCATTCTAAGTTATAGCCAGGAAATAATTTTCACGGTTGGTATCCACCAGGGACATGCCAACATTTTCCAATCGCTCGAATATGACTGGGTTCTATCATGTAATTGCTCGAAACAAGCTATACCTAACAAACTTTTTTCTTTTGCAAGCATGTGTGGAGAAGCACGCGATGTTCCGGATACTCTGTCCTACGGAATAGCCAGTGTTCGGTGTCGTTCGAATCCAGTATCAGTCACCGAAGTGAGAGGGAAGAAGTCTGGGTCGATGGGTTTGAAACTTATTTGCGATCTTATCTTGAGATTTCAGAAGCGACAGGGCGGCATACCACTGGCCCCACCCTATTGCCTGTGAAAATGAAGAAAATAATCGGGCATCTTGCTAGACGCCACGCGTTCTATTCTATCAGCAAGCATAGGGGTGCTGGCCTATTCGTTATTCGTACGGGCAAACTTATGCGCCAGTCAGTGTTTTTGTGCTTCCATACAGGTCTATACCCAGTGTCCGACCAAAAAGGAAAGGACCAACCCCCAACTAACTCACACAAACTCTGTCCGGAAGGGAATTTCACAGTTTCTCCGAATTTAAAGCAAAACCTGCTGAATAAAATATATAAGGAAGAGGAAAACACGGGCGGAAGGGGGTGGGCAGTGAAAGTGGCGCTGCTTACTACGCAGCTGGCGCGGGGATCAATTTTGGGCCAACCTAATCTTCATTCCATCAGGGTCGTTACACCAGTGCCAGAATTATTGAGAGAACTGAACAACACTGCCGACCCCTGCGTGACCCGAACTGCGTTCAAAATGCCTTGACAATTCCGAATGGAAATCGAATGTGTGGTGCATCCCGAAAAAGGATAGATCAGTCCGCATGCTTTATGCTTTGTCATGCTTTCTGAAAACATTGCGGAGAATTTATTTTTCAAAATTTTCAGGTCGTGATATAATGTTCGTGTCAAATATTGATAACACCGGCGCTACCCTCGACCTGAAAATCGCTCAGTTTCGCTTGTGATGAGGGAGTCGAATACATCATGGAATGCACAGAGAAGACAGAAAATGATATCAAGGTAACACATGATTGTTTTGCTTAGCAGCTGCCGACCAGTCACTACAGAAACACGATAAGAACGAAGGTCAAAGAAGGGGAAAATTGCATAGTTGGGAGACAGGCGGACCTCCTGAGGGTGCTGACCGACGCGCAATTGGCAGCGAAAGATTTGACCTCGGCGATCTAGCATGGCTCACTCTTGGCGCGGTTGGCGGGGTACGCCCACCGACTATCTAATCACTCGCCGCAGGTCTATACGTGGCGAGTGATTAGATAGCAGAGAGAGCGTAGTGTTGAAGAGGGCACAGCGATGAGAGTCGCATCAATGCGCAAATCAACGGGCAAGGAAGGGGTCCCATTTCTCGGGTTTCGGGCCGTTTCAAATGGTTTCTTCTTCATCCCTGCTCCACTGACCACCTCTACCCTTATTTCCAATGAGCTAACTTTTCATCGTAAATTCTGCCTTTAACCTCACATGGTCGTGTGCAAGAGTCTATTGCATGGGTAGGATAGAACTGTCTACGTGGGTTACAAATGTGCCGTTGTCGCGGCTCGAAACTGCGCTACAATGGCGCTAGGGCCTTACAACGTGACCTAGTGGACGAGATACTCTGCGCACACTTGCTCTTACTGGAGTTCACAGCATAGCTGCTCTATACGAACAAAACCGGAGTCTCATTCTGTCCATATTTTTAGGGCGGTACACTCATTGATATCGCTGGCAACTGATGCATCTCGAGATTCCACAAGTGCCTCCAGAGCATCTCGATGAGTTCTGTTCAACACGCACCTTCAAGTATGTTTTGCTAGAGTAGAAATTAAATAATTAAATCATACTATTATATTATTTGGTCTTGAGTAGATCTGAGAATTTTTTTACCTATGCATTAGGTTTCAGGATTTTCAACACCAACAATATATGGGTAAATCTGCGTGCCGTGAAGGAGCGGCTGGATTCTATCTCAAGTGAAATCATAGTCAACAAGAAGGTCTGTATGACTTCTTCTTTCTATTTGTTTTTATAAATTGGTGGGATGACCAATAACATACTCAAGCTCAAAAGTTTCAGGATTTGAATGGGCGTTCAGTGATACAGCTGGAAACGTCAATCGGCGGATGTATAAGGAACTTCCCGCGAGCTTATTGTTAGTTTTTTTTTTCCAGCCTCATCAGTCATAGACAAAGTTCAAAAAGTTCTCTGAAGAAAACTGAGTTTCTAGCATGAACATGACGAGACGCACGTCAGAAATTTCACAAAGTGCATATTTATATTAGGTTGTCCCATAATTAGTGAATCACTTTACATTTATTGCTATAAATTCCAATGAAAAATCTTGAAGGCGTGAAACATGTTTTGCCAAGTAGTACCCACAATGTCCTACCTAAGCAATCAGTCGGCCCGTTCACACGTTTCCTTCCGAGGCTCAAATTTCAATTTTTCTGAAATCTTCCCCCAAACACGATATGAAATCGCCATGTTCGCTCCTGCTTCCCAGAGTTCTTTTCAGTGATCATCCTGCGTACTCACCAGTGTTGTGAAGTGGGTGGAGTGTGCTAGCAAATTCACAAGGAGCAGCAGAGTAGCTTGAAAGATTGGAGAGTTCTGACAACAAAAGCCCAACCACCTCTGTCGGACCTGTATGTCTGGCACTTCTGAGATTTTAGTGGGGCACAGAACAGACCTGGCGCTGGGAACCAGAGCCTAGTAATACTAGAGTCAGTGAGTAAGGCATACGTTGACAGCATAATGGCGATGCGTTCTATCTGAGGGTAAAGCAAGACAAAGTCTGGTTTTTTCCTGAGGTCATTCGACCCCACCTTTCGGAAAATCTTCATAAAAAATTGCAGACCTTTGGGCTAGCAGTTCTTCCAGCTCTACCGTGAAGCCCTACCCTCGTATCAGCGAAAGATAACCTAGACACTTATACCCGTTACCAGTTTAGCTCCGCACGCAACCGCGCGCATCAAATGGCGGGCTTCAGTGAAACTGGACAACTTGCAGAATGTTAGGTCACGTAACAGAGAAACTAACAGTAAAATGTTTTGGAAGATGTGTCCCATGAAGTTCAAAGGTTGTCCAATTTCGCTGGAGGTTGTCGCGTAATGCGCGCAGTAGCACGCGGAATGGAAATGTTACTTATCATGACTTCGTAAACATTTAGCATTGATATCGAGCTCGGGCGATTTAGCGGTTTATAGAACTTCCACAATTGAAGAATCGGTGTGTGAAATAACCAATCAATCAGCATCTACCGAGCTATGATGGAAATTGGAAATATGATTTTATTCGCTATTAGTCCAGGTCCAGATAGTTGAGCAGCTCAACTTTCTTTGCTTCTTTAGATGAAAGGATAGGAATGGAACATATTCACTTGCTAGGGGCCTGGTTTAGTTTAACTGAGTGCACGCTCAATTTCGCTACTTTTATCAGTACAGTTGCCGCTCATACCACTTTCTGTCACCCACATTCAATCCTCGCCACCTTGTTCCCGTCCCATTCCTTATACCACATGTGAAAGCCAAGGTTTCAATGTCACCGCGAGGGCCGCAACGAAACTGGTGGTATCCACACTTTGACGCCCCTTATCAGTTCTTATCAGTTGCTACCACATTCGTTCACTCAACTTCTTGGTCCCCGCCTCACCCCACATATCATATATGAGTGCAAACTCTCCACCATCAACGCGAACGGTGTAACGAAATTGGTGACATCAACATTTCCGCCCCACTATCAGTGTTCACGCCCGGCCCCCTACATATCCTAGAAGTTTGAGCGCTCTTGGTCCAAAGGGAGCGAAGTTATGAATTTCCGGTCAGACACACACACACACAACCGCTTAGCCGATTATATATAGTAGGATCTTCAGGAAGAAATTTTACGCCAAGTGACATGACCTCAAACCTGACTTCCGATCTTCCTTTTATCAATAACTCCTGGAATTCCAGAGAAAGACAGCGACTAAATTCCCATGTATAGGCAATAGTTTGTAGATAACAAAGGTGTATGTTTGGATGAGCAAGACTTCATATGAAAAAGAAAAAAATTGAATTCAAAAATACCCAAAGTGATTCACTAATTATGGGACAACCTAATACAATAACCGTGATTCGTCTGCATTAGATATCGCGGTGCTATCGCAGGATGCGGGGCATCTTTTAAGACCGAGCCTGGGAGGGAGCAGGAATTCTGCGGAACGTTGAAATCGCTCACTCTTGAGTCTTCTCCCCGGCTTAGGCTTAGTCTCGTTTATAACTAAAAGAATATGCTTAACGCGCTTTGAATGCATTGTCACCACCATGCCCCAGTATCCTGGAGTAGCGCCGATACCACTTCGCGCTGCACAGATGGTGCCAGCGATCTCCAGCAGGACAAATGAAAACTTCAAATATTGTTCCTGCTCAAGTGGTGCACTCCCTGCCCCCACTGTGTGATTTGTCCTCTCCTCTATACATTTTCACAGTTTCCGAGCACTTTCTCAGCAATAGGCACATTTTGGGTTTGAGCTCCACCCACTGGCTGGTCTTCGGATTACTGTGTACCTTGACCTTCCTCCTTTCGAGAACTTGAACAGTATGAAACAGATTGTTTTTAGCATCAACCAGTTGACCGCAGACTCCGCTGTTTGGGTCTCCTAACCATAAGGGAATGGTACGAGGCGCGTTTCGCTAAGAGAATATGCATCGGTAGCAGCCTACCAGGATCTTCCCCGTCTATTCGAAAGCCGAGTTTCTCTGCCCGCTCACCGATGTGCAATCCTGGGGTACCCGACAGGAGGCCCGTCGCGCGGCAACAAGGCAGAGTCAGCGGACGAGTCGCAGCGCGTACTGTAGTGATTTCGCGTCAAGTTAAATAGAATGAATGCATTGTACGTCCTACATCGCACATCACGCGCTGCGACTCGTCCGCTGACTCTGCCTTCTTGCCGCGCGACAGGCCTTCTGTCGGGTACCCGCATCCTGCAGCTGTCATACTGTAGCCGTTTTAGCATAGAATCAGAGCACATTGATCAGCTCCATGACGTCAGAACTGATGACACTTGTCCTACATCACCATCAGTGATGAAACCAACTGTCCCTTTTTGCAGGACCATTTCGCTTACTTTATTCGTCACTGCGGCACATCTTAACAGCTCCCACCCTCAGCGACCGATCAATCTATCGTTCTTTCTACGCACATTCAAGGAGAAACAGCAAACACTTACTTTTTTCAAGGTGTGCACGTGAACAGATGCAGGTTCCTGCCAGTGAAGAAAGTCGACGATCTCTTGGCGATCTCTTCCTAATTTGTACTCCTTGAATTCCAACTTTGCGCTGGAACTTACCCGTAACCGTCCTGCGCCCACTGTGGAGCTAGGAAGATTTTTCCAAAGGGTATGTTTCGTCATCCTTTCGTATAATGTATGCTATACGAAGTTATTAGTTTCCAAATAGAACAAGTTCGTCACGCAATGTTCAGGTGAACGATTTTCATGCTCGATTCGACGACTATCCCGACATGCAAGAGCTGGACTCTCTCAAAATTGAGGGTGACGTTCGATTTGAAAAGAACGTTGTTCTTAAGGTAGCGCTTCTAGCATCTTGGAATTTGAGCGGCCCCGCACTTTAAAAATCTAAGTCCGGCTTTTCGCAAGTAAATGAATTAGCTAAAATTATTGAGAATCCGCTTCCATCCGCACAAAAAACACGACTTAACAAATAGAGTACCCAACTCAATTTCTATTACTTTGTTTGCGTCTCAGTCGATAAAAAAGGATAAAGGATAAAGCATTTGCCGTTGATCAATCCCTTTTTGGGATGCGGCACGCATTCTACTTCCATTTGTACATTCGTAGTGGCATTTGAATGCGATGTGGCCTATACAATGACTTGCGGGGGCCAGCCGATGTCAAGTCAGTGTTTTTATCCTCCCAGACAAGTCTGGTACCAATTAACCGACCCCGGAGGGATGGAAGGCTTGGTTGGCCCGGGGCGACTCACGACCCCTTTACCACGTTCGCGACCAAGGATTCGATCTCCGGACCACGCACATGGTAGGCGTGCCAGTTGCCACTACACCATTGCCGCCCTTAACTTCGTATAATGTATGCTATACGAAGTTATTACGATTCTACTTGAAAACACTTTTCCTCATCCAGGAACTCAGGCCTGTAGGTTTCTTCATTATCTATCTGTTATCAAGTAAAGGGCCTAATATATGCGTAAATGCCCAGGTGGTAAAAAGTCAGAAGCTCAATGCAAATGATACTTTGGGGTTCCACCCTCGAAATCATTGAGATCTAAGCAGCCACTATTTTGCGCTATATCATCTGTTTCCAAGAGAACATGAGCACGTCGGAATGGTCAGATCACATACCACAAGTGACGACAGCTCTCAAGTAAATCTGGTAACTAGTGATTCACAGTGATAGCTGATAGTTGGTAAAGTGCTAGTGATAGCTGACAGTTGTGATTAGGGACAAGTGATAGAATTCAGCTGCACTAGGCCAATGCTTTCATTGGCGAATGGACATTCATGTTTGTGGGGCCGTCGTCACTTGTGGTGTGTGGGCACTCGACGTGTTCCTGGTTCTCTGAAACAAACAGTATATGGTGTGAATGACACCCAAAAGTCTGCTGCCTTTCTCAGATGAATTCTATTTGTGTGCTGTGCTTCGAGGGCGGAGATACCTCAGTGGGTTGCCTTCTAGGGCTTAACAAGGGGCTCGATTCTTGTCGTTGTTGCTTGAATAGAATTTTAAATATGTCATCCTTGATTTATACTATATGTATGTCGCAGCTGGTTTGTTATGTTCAGGGAGATGTCACCATCGTGAATCGAACAACCAAACAACAAGTGATCTCAACGGGATCTGTGATAGATAATGATCGAATTGTTTTTGAATGAATAGTTCATAAACCAATCCTTTCGTTTCAAGCTACTGCTCAACACTTCTACTTTTTTTCCGGTACGTGGGTCGTCGCAGGAAGGACCGCAAAACTATCTGATTCCAAGCATACCCTTCAAACTTTCGAGCCCAAGTTCTGATATGCGTCGAGATTTCATGAAAATACTGAGTTTACTCAAAGCTCACTACATACAGTGGATGGCCAAAAATCCAACCGTAGTCCGTCGTAAACTTCGAAGTTCATGCAGAGAACGGTATTTCGCGTTTTCGTTACCTTGGTTTGAAATTTGGTTTTTCAACTCTGAATAAAACATTGA